TTCTTTCTTTTTTGAAAACAGTGAAAATGGTAAAATCTACGCGCTTACGGAATCTCCTCGAATTTTCTATGGGGGTACCCTTTAATTTATCCCCTCGGCGGTTAAAAAAACGAAATAAAAAAAGGAGGGAGGCAAACTAGCCGTTTGAGTGGGACACGTGGCTAGAGGAGATAGCGGGTAGGAAGCTGCACGTGTGCTGCTGGGGGAATGGCGTGGCGATATGGTCGGTCCGAGTCGGCTGTGTCGGTAACTTACTCAACACGATGCGTACGTGTTAAGAGTCCTACGACGTCTGCTTCGGGTTCTAATAAAGGGATAGTCAGCTCACAGTCGAGTTTCATTGACTCCTTATTATTATGGCGACACGTGTATATGTGATGGAATTGGACGGTGAGGATTTGATGTAGTTTCACTTTATGACGGCTAGTGGGCCTTCTTTGACTGAAGATTCTAGATTGGTGGCTGACGGCTGTTGCATTAGCAGCGGTCAATATAAACTACACGTCAAAACCATGTACGCGTTTATATGGGTGGGCTCTCGAGAAACCATGTCTGTGACTGTGAGTGAAACATTATTTTTAAATAAATTTCTTCTTTTTGTTTCTTTATCTTAGCTAAATTCTATTTGGTAAAATTGGTATTTCAAAAATCAAACTTATAATTATCTGTAAGAAAACGTGCGCAGTTTTTTTATTATTAAAAAAATGTGATTATCCCCTTAAATTATCAATTTGTTTTCTTAATTGGGGAATTTTAGATTGATTGGGCCATGGATCGACTTTAAAACATCATGTAATTATCTAAAATAACTACTGCAATCATAGTGGAGTAAAGAGTAGTTGAGTTAGAAGCAACTAGCAAGATTTGAGGAGGCCAAAATTATTTATTTTGAACTTTTTGGGGGGAATTTTGGGTTGTCTTTACAAAGGGCTACTGGGTACTTGATCTTCCCTTAAGCCCAAGTTGGCGAAGGTGATGGCCCATCTTTAGGGCTGTTTTGCTAGGAGTTTGTTTTGGGCCTTTGGCCTTCTTTGTAAGATACTTGTGTTGTAGAGTCATTTTATAGTGAGGGTTCTTATTTAAGACCCGTTGATGAGGTCCTATCTCTTAATATCCAGAATCTATCATTACATGCCGTGTGATATCCGCAATATGATCTTGCTCTAAAAAGATTAATAACTAGATCGCATTAGTTCCATAATAAGTAGTTAAGCTATAAAGTTTCGAAGTAGAAATTAACGCACATAGGCATTTTTTGAATTAATTGTTTTACCATGTAACTCATAATTGAACTAATAAGTATCTTCGGTTATGAAATCTTCATATGAACTAGCCCCGAGAATCTAGGGCCAAAAATTTATTACGTACCATATCACGTATGTGCATGATATACGATCTCACTCTATACATTTCACGTGCAAAACACATGCATCATGGAGTGACTTTTCAATCCATACATATAAAGAATTTTTTTTGTTTACAAGCATTAGTCAATTAAACCATATGAGTTAGAGCGAACTATATATATGACCCATAACATATGCTCAATAACACCAAGCCAGAATATATTTTATATAATAATATGGTTCATCTTTTTTATAAGTAATATATAAACATATATAATAGTACATGATCACATATAAACAGCATAAAACATTTTGACACAAGAAATAGGGTCAAATTGCTGTATATATATTGGAATGACTTTGGATATCATAGATTCTTATGCATCTAATCAAGTATATGGTAACCATTATATTTGTTTTCTTACTGTATGTGGTATATGAATATATAGACTCAAAAAATGGAGTGACTAATTATCGAAATCGATCGATTTCTTGGCGCAAAAAAGAAGAAGATCAAAATCGATTTCATGAAGTGTTCATGTCGAATGGGAAGTTCTTGATGTAAGAAGTTAGACAGAATTAAGAATTTAACAATATGGAGGAAAGGAGAAACATAAAATTTAAATGAGGATTTCAACTGAATTCAAAAGACAACCTTAAGTTAATAATTTGCAATGAAATTGATACATAAAACCATCTTAAAGAAATCAGTACCAACTCCTCGATTGTTTCGGATAAACAAAGCTTTTGTCCTCCCAAGCAAAATCTATAGATATTTCTGCCTCGGGAGAGAATTTCCAAGACAGAAAAGCATCGGTGAAAAAGGCCATATCCTGACGCAGAGCCCTACTGAAACGGAAACTCTTGGGGAGAAGAAGAAACATGTATTCCAATGACATGGCTTTCCCCAAAAGAAACCTCGTCAAATCGAGGTGACAAGGTTGGAACCTAAAACCCATAATTTTGATGAGCTTTAGGTGTTTGAACAAGGCCGAGTGTTTGTCCAGTAATGGCCTTTGATGCAGTTCATAGAAAGCTCCGCCATCAAAAGTAAACTCATCCACCTGCAGTACATCATCATTATAAATAATTTGTTCATAAAGATCATATAAATATATATATATATATATATATAGATAATCTGTTCATAATTTATACTCACATCGATAAATAATTTCTCGAGGCGTGGACAATTTTTGAGAAATGAAGCAATGTCGCCAGCATTGCAATAGCTAGGATTCTCCATTATCAACTGGAGCTCCTTCAAATTGCGAAAGCTCAACTGCTTTTCTCTCAAATCCCCGTCAACAATTCTCGGAGACAAACTCTAACTTACATAAAAACAGATTATAAGAACACATTAACACTGAATTAAAGTAATCAATTAATCAATCAAGGAGACTAACCTCAAGAAATGTACTTGTAATGGTGAGAAGCTCGACATTGTTCGAGATAGTAGAAGCAAGTCTTTCAACTTGCAAAGGGTTTGTGATCCCTTTCAAAGGCTTGAAATAGAGCATGGCCTCTTTCAAAAACAGCAAAGATTGAGAAATTACGCGGAAATTACTAATACTTCCACTATAATAAAGAGATCCAACACTCGGGGCATCAATCTCAATACCCCGAACCTCCGTCCTACAATTTCCCACCTTCAAAACCCTCAACCTCGTTTGCTTCTGAGCGTGGATTCTCAGAAGCCGAAACCCGTGACACCGTACCATGTCAAGGGTTTCGAGTAGGGCGCACCGGTCAAGTATAGTTTGGATGATCTTCGGGGTTATGTCAACTCTCCGGAGAACGAGAGTTGTGAGCAAGGACAGGCCTTTGAGGTCTGGTGGGAGCTGAAAGACCGAGTACGAGAGCTTCAAGACTTTCAGGCTCTCCACGTCGAGGAAGTGCGGAGGGACAAGGAAAGAAGGCTCCTGGTTGGGTTGGGAGATGTCGAGATCCAGCTCCTGGACCCGTTTCTCGATGCATTTCCTTACCCATTCCTGCAAGTGAAGCTCGTGGGCATTGGGATCGAAGTGGAGCCGGAAGCTCTTGATCTCGCCACCCCTATGGGATTCGAAAACATGGTTCAGTATTGTCTCCAACTCTTCGTTGTGGTACTCTTCGGCAAGCTCTTTCTCGAAATGGATCCTGCGCGCGAGACGCCAGGAGTCTCTGAATCTTCTGGCCACCAGGCCAGCTGTGACGGCGGCTTTTATGGGGAGGAGGGTGAAGATGTACTCAATAAGGTCGTCTGTCAGCTGGACAGAACGGCTACGCGACGGGCCGCGGCCGGAGCTGGATCCAACGACAGGACCGAGGAACGTCCTTAGTTGTTTCAGCGGCGGCCCGTAGACGACTTTCCGTGTGTCTCTTCTTCTGGTCTTGTTTACTGGGAACATTATTGTTTGGTGAGCGAGAAGCTAGCAGATAGAAGAGTGAAAAGGAAAGAAAAACTGGAATTAATTTTTCTTTGAGGAAGGAGGAAGAGAAAGCCAGTGTGTGGAAATCTCTGGTGGAGGCCGAGTTATTATAGGGGAAGAGGGTTTGGGTGGCTCTAGGGCTTGAGAGCGTGTCTCCATTGTTTTTTAGTATGTAAGTAAATGAATGAGGAAAAATCAGCTTCCGCTGGTTTTGCCTTTTCTGGCTTTCTCAGGAGCGAGCAATGACATGAAATGAAACAAAGAACGGCAAAAAAAGGTCAGGCGAAATTACTGACGTGGCGGGACGTCCAGCTTATGACCATACGTCAACGTATTGGGTTTGGGTTTTCGGCTGTTGTTGGTGGGTCCCACTGTTAGTGCTGAAAAGTCTTGTTTGGCCTTTGTTTTGAGTAGGTGGATTTTATAGAGAGCTTTAATGGCTTTTTCTCAAAACGAATCTAGGTGCTTAAGCATGGATGGCAAGCTAGTGCAGTCTTTGCTCATTTTGTAATCAACCCAGGACATTTTTATTTATACCAAAATGCTATTTTTGTCATTGAAGAAGAATGTAAACATTTATTCGTTTAGATTTCTAATTATGAAAAGCACATCCTCTTAGGACCCCTGCACCAGGTAGGAAATAACCTTTAAAATGGTTTTGAATTGACTCATTTTGGTATTCTTTTTAAGAATTTAATATCGTAAGAAAATATTGCTAACCTTTCCAACTTGAAGTCATGGCCTTTAAATTGCAAAATAATTTCCTTATCATGGGCTCGTTTAGAGGTCAATGTACAACAAATACGACTTGTCGTTGCATCGTCTTGTAAAAAAGTTTAGTAATATAATAATGATAGGTGTGTTTCAATTTAGTGTCGATACCAACCACTTCTTGTACATATGTGACACACATTAACATAGATGGACTTTATGTGGGTTTTATTATTATGAGAGATGTGATCGGAAATTTTGATATAAATAATTTTATCTTGTTAGCCACTGCAAGTTAGATGTTAAGTTTGTAAGCCGATAAATAATTAGATTAAAAGTCATTAGTAACCATTTAAAAGGAAAATTTACCATAAAAATATTATTATCACTAAGTATATCAACTATTAATTGTCTTTTAAAATGTGATCTTAAAAAATGATTGGTCAGATTTACTTTTATGTAGTTTTTGAATTTTAGGACCACTCAAAAAAGGGCAAAAACAAAACAAAACAAAACACGATTAACATAAAAATTAGTTCAGTCAGCAGAAGCTTCGAAGTCGAAATGTACGATACACCCATCAAAATTGAGCTCAAACAATTGTGTTTTACATATAGGTGCACTGATCTTGTTTGCAACCTTGTAATACAATTAATATACAACAATTAGGCAAATGATGCACAGGCCAAGCTGTAAATGTAACCGAAGCTCATAGGGATTATCGAGTGCACACTTCGTTGGACAGAAGCTATTGTAATACGACTAGGGATCTTGGTGCAGGTTATGGCTGTTATGATCATCACCGTCAATGTTAACATCATTCTCCACCACTGAAGCAACAGAGAAACTCCACACAGAAGCACAGTTTTCTTCACCTGCATAACCCAGGACAGTTAACCTCCTATTAGTACAATGACCTTTCGCTATGTTATGCAAGTTAAAAAGTTGGGCAGCTTAGATTAATACTCAGACAGGTTTCATGTTTCATATGAACCTTATCATGTATCTTCTTGTTATTTAAAGAGCCTGGGAAGTAAGATAGAGGGATGACCTAACACACTTTCTGATTCTTCATTCGTGGTTATCAACACCACAACAAGTATAATAGTATAGGGCACGCGAGTAGTATTTCATAAATTACAACACAACACCCACAAATTCATCCAAAAGTCTTTGCAAAGCAGGCATATAAGAAACTGAATTAAGCTCAAAGAACAGTCCTATCTGCCTCTTACTACCTTTTGGATCCGAATAATACAAACTAACTCCTAAGGAATGACCAGATCATGCACCCATAATCATGATTGAGATTGGGAAAAAAAAAGGTTGCGAAAATGACACACAAAAAAACACGATTAGCATAGGAGACTACAATTAGAAGGATATACAACGTAATTAATTGAAAATATCTCCAAACGAAGAAATTTGGTTTCAGCATAGGGTCATAGGAGCTACCACTTAAATGCAATTCCTCATTGCCATCATCAGGACCAACAAATCTTCGCTGCCCAGAAGAAGATGTAGCCATGGGCAGAAAAGGATGAAAAGAGAATCCGTTAACAGTATCTGCGTGGTGTAGAGAACAGAAGAACTTGTTAGGTAATAGAAGAGACTAAGTCATATTGAAGTAGCGTTCTCACATCTTTATAGGATACAAAATGAATTACCCAATGCAGCTTGGAAGCCTGATACCCATTGTCCAGTTTGAAGATCATAGATATGAACAATACCGTCCTGAAACCGAAATGCACAAATAAGCAGATAAGTAACAAATCAATATAAACTAGGGTTTTGACTTGGTTGTGGCATAACATCTGGACATTGAAGCATAGTTTAAAGCTAAGGCGCTACCTGGCCACCTGTACAAAGATGTCGGCCGAGTGGGTCAATATCAAACAGAATTCGCTGGTTGGTATCTTCTGATGACCTGTATAACCTAATTCCAAGGTGCAAATAAAATAATGTAAGCAAAAAAGATTTTCAATGTACAGAATACTTGATAACTTTCTAAATTAGAGAAAATAATAAAAAAGAATCTTACTTGTACACAACATCAACAGCTTTGCGCATATCCCAGCATAGTATATAAGGATCCTTCAAGTAAAATTTATGTAAGCCAATGAAAATCACATTTAAAATAGAAAGCAAGAGCATATGCTAATATATTAATAAAACACTTCAAAAAATTTACTCGCATCATAAACTGACAGTTGTTATAGAGAACTTGTTTACTGCATTTCAAATAATCAAGCCAATGCCAAAATATGATAAAATTAAACAACCAACCAAAAAAATCGAACACATGAAGCTATTTACCTTCCGGCCTCCAGTATATAAATAATTTCCATCCTTTGAAAACTGGACCTGAAAGGAAAATGATTTTGATCATCTGTTGAAGTTGTGATCAAAGTGAAATGAACAATAAGGAATGCTGACTTACATGTGTAATCCCACCTTCATGACCATGCAATACATATAAGAGTTCCATATTATCTTCTCTATATATTGCAGCAGTCTTGCTGTAAGAACCTATAGCTAGCATTCCACTATGGGTTGGACAAAAAGCCATTGCAGACATTATACCTGTCCACAATAAAAATGCTGAGGATTGTGCACTTGCATAACTTCTTTTAATTTGTCATCGGAACTTCTATATAAAGCTAAACTGATAACACGTACCAGTTTGGCCTTCTTTGTTTCCTTGAACAGTTGAATACTGTTCAAAATCCCTACCAGGACGATGTAAATCAAACACCCTAACAGATTTGTTGTATCCAGCAAAAATCCTACAAAACAATTGAAGAATACGATGCTTTTAAATCTTCTGTCAAATTTGCAGAAACACAGGGGAGTGAATATTATGAGTTAGAGGCAATTATAGAGCCATTTCCAAATGGTGTCTTACAGTTATATCACAGTTCATTCTAAGAACTTACATGTGTAGTGTCCAATATTGAAATCCAGGATTCGATGTCCATTTAAATTCCACAAAATTTCTACTCTCAAACATGAAAGTAATAATACAAAAAATGAAGCACAAAACATGTGATTAAATTGTATAACCTTTGAAAAAGGAAAAATAGAAAGAAAGAAAAAAAGCAGAAGATCTTGCTTACTTCGTTCCAGTGGGATTAAAGGCAATTGAAAAGGCAGCTGTGATTTCATCCACAGCATCATAAGCACGATATGTGCAACGTAGCTGCAATTTTAAGCCAAAGAAAATGGAGTTAATGAAATACACAAATATTGAATCCCCAAATACATATCAGAACTTCATATACAAGGGAACAGAGTGATCTAAACATGGAATAGCCGAATTGTATATGTTGCAATGACATATCAAGTGGTAAACTTTACAAAGATACTAATTTTATTTGCATAATGAAGACTTGCAATAATGAGCCAGCACCTGCCCAGAAGAAGCATCCCAAAGATGAATTGGATGGTCACGAGATGTTGTTGCAAAAACACTGGTAACTGGGTCTGCAAATGCCAACCAAGATTCCAAATCAAGCTTTAGCTTAGAGTATTACATCATCCGCTATAAAATATATATTTTGAAATATCAAATGGAGATTCTCATTGTCATAATAATAATAATAGGATAAACTTAACAGGTTCTCCCCATGACAGAGTTACAAAGATACCTGAAGCAGACATGTATGGGTACCAACAGAAGTCATATACGGACTCTCCCTCATTCACAACACAGTTTGCAGCATAGGAATCTGCAGCTGAAGAGTAAAAACATAAAAGCTTAAAAAGGATGACTTCACTTAGATGCAAATACAAACTAATCAAAGCTAGCTCGACAATGAAGACTTTCATTCTCAAATAATACCAAGCAAAAACTTTTATTCTTTTCATGAGAATATATTCTAATATTAGTACATAATATAATAAAATTTTAGACTAATATCTTCTGAAAGCGAACTTACCTTCATCAGCAGCTACAGAACACGCGTTAACATTATCACTCCCATAATCTGGTCTGGTTAAGAAGCAAACAAGAGTATAGTTAGCAAAACTTGTTTTTGTCCAATATAAAGCTAGCAGTAGTGGACACCATTGTTTGCAATTTGAGAAAGTTGGTTTTTTTAATTGCATTTTGAGTAGTTATAAAGGCAAGAAAGTAAAACCGAAAATTGTTACCCAAACCAAATGGCACTGCTTTACTCAAATACAATTTACATTGCCCTTTTGTACTCTCCACAATCCACACAATGCAATCAATGGAAAACTTACAATGCGAAAACACGAAGCATATTGTCCTCGGAACTGGTAAGAAAGCACGACCCATCTGGAGACCTAAACCCAAAAAATTAAATACAAAATCAAAAACCAAAATTTGGAAAGAAAACAAAAGAATGAGAAAGCAAGGGTTGGTGCAACATGTACCATTTGACGCCCTTGAGAAAGTTGTTGGGGTTTGGAGAAGCTCTGAACTGGTGGCAGAAGTGGTAGGTTCTCTGTGGAGGAACATCGAACCGAATCGCAGGCCAAGCGTAGTCTTGCTCCGTTGGGTTTTCGGTAATTTCTGTGTCTGGGTTGGGCGAATGGGGTTGGCGACGCTGCTCTTCTTCTCCCATTGCTTCAGCTTGAGCTTAACCCTCAGTGATCAACTGCGTTAGCTACTTGGCTTTAGGCTGTATTTGGTCTTGCCGCCAAAAATAGGGTCCGCAGCTTCAGTTTGAAGCTGGGTCGTGACTTGTGCCCAGCCTCAAATTTAGCAGAGACTCATTTTTGGGCTTCAGTAGAAGAAACGAAACACAAGGCGAAAGAAATTCTTAAACAAGTTCTTAGCTGTGAAATATCTGTTTTCAATCTATATCATCAATAGAGTCGTTGTAGTATAGTGGTAAGTATTCCCGCCTGTCACGCGGGTGACCCGGGTTCGATCCCCGGCAACGGCGTTTTTTTCTTGATTAATTTTTTGTTTTTGGACATTTGATCTGAATTTTTCGATTTCCACGGCCTTCGGTTCAGGGCCTCGGGCTTTATAACCCAAAAAGAAAAAAGCCCGCCCTCATTTTCAATCTCTTTCTCTCTCTCTCTCACAACTCACGTCCCCCTCTCTCTTCACTCTTCACTGATCAGAGTTCACCGCTCAGTCAGATATCATCTTCTTCTTCTCTAAACGGCACCGTTTCTGCTCCCATTCATTCTGGTGCTATCAAGATTTAAGGTTCTGTAATTTTGTAGCGTCTCTTAGCAAGCAAACTGCGGTTCACTGACTTTTTCTGTGTGCAGATTTTGCCATGGAAACTGATGAGGCTCAACGAGTGCTTCCCTTTCAGCTTCAGTTCGATAAGCCAGTTGCCTCTCAGGTTTCTTTTACAATTTCTCAATAAAATCCCCAATGTATATGTGGCAGCGTGCCAAATTCGGTCTTTGTAACTTTGAATTTTGAATGGCAGACTAAAATTGCAGAATGGAACCCCGAGAAGGATTTGCTGGCTATGGTAACTGAAGACTCCAAGATTTTGCTGCACCGTTTTAATTGGCAGAGGTTGTGGACAGTCTCTCCCGGTATCTCTCTCTCTCTCTCTCTCTCTCTCTCTGATTTTATGTTATGCTCGTCTTGAGTGCTTTGAGTGTGAGCTTAGTGATACTTTTTTTTCTTTTCCATTTCTGAATTTTGACTAGGAAAGAGCATAACATCATTATGTTGGCGTCCGGATGGTAAAGCAATTGCTGTTGGGCTTGAAGATGGAACAGTTTCATTGCACGATGTTGAAGTAAGTAGCATAAACATTTTTTACGATATGAAGGTATAACCTATGCTTTTCTATTTTTTTGCCTCTTCATTTATGATTTTTTAATGCAAGGCAGAATGGAAAGTTGCTGAGAAGCTTAAAATCCCATGGTGTTGCTGTTGTTTCTCTTAACTGGGAGGAGGATGGACAGATGACTAAAGTATGTCGTTATCGATCTAATTGTAGGCCATGCACCAATTTGAGTTTAGTGGGTGAAAATCACTTTTTTTTTATTTACTTTAACTTTTTTGTGGGTGTTAAATTTCAGCCAGAAATATATCTCTTCTTACAAAACTTTTGCCTGGATGTTTAACTATGCTCTTGCTTCCCTATTTACTCGCTAACTTTTTTGAACTTCTGACGTTTCATTGTACTTTAGAAATTTGAGATTAGAGTTTATTTACGAAAAAATATATATCAAATTTATGACATAACAATAATAATCTGACTCTATTTCTGATATAATTTTTATAGAAGCTTTCTGGAATCATCTTTGTTAGTATTTTTCCTCTAAATTTTTTTTTGGGTGGGTGGGGAAGGAGGGAGATGAGTTTGTTTTTGAGTGGCAATGTATGGTCTCATTTCAATCCATTTCTTGAAAACTAATTTCAGGATGAGCAGGGCAGCATATCGACATATGAAGACCGTACTCCTCATTTCTTCCCACCTCCTCCAAGAGTTCCACGGATGCCTGGACTGGTATCTGGAGATACTGGTTTTATAGATGATAGTGAAGATTCATTTCGAGAGCTGTCAAATTCTTCACAGCAACGATTTAATATCCTCTGTAGTGGGGACAAAGATGGATTCATTTGCTTCAGCATATTTGGGATTTTCCCAATAGGGAAAATTGTAAGTTGTAACATCTGAAGCATTCTTAAAAAGTGATGCGGTTGATAATGCTTTATTATGTTAAACTACTTATTTCAGTTTATGTGTGGTATATCACTTAACTGCCTCTGTTATCTTTAATTTTTAACGCACTTGCAATGTGCCAGAACATACACAACTTCTGTGTTCCTACTCCGCTTATGGATACAAAAGCTGAGTGCAGACTTCAGAATGCTTCTGTTCACAAGGTACATTCATCCTTATTTCAGTTTAATACTTCTGCATATGGGGAAAAGTTGATGGCAAAGTTACTGTCATGGAAGATTTCTTTCTGTTAGGATTTTTCCATTTCCTAATGCTATCATAATTTCCAGTTTTACCTTTTATTTTATTTTATTTCACTTCAATGTCATATGCTTCATTTTTGAAGCTTTTCGCAGGTCAATAGAAAACTACTTTACCAGATCAAGCTGATGTTGTTACATGTTGTCATTAGGTTGCTTTGTCAAAAGATCTTTGTCATTTGATAGTCATATGTTCAGGAGAATTGAGAGAAGATAGGAAAGAATCAGAAAACAGGTCAATGACTCAACATGGTGTGCGTGGCTTACACTGCACAGTGCTTGATACATCTATATTTTGGAAGAGGTAGCTTTCTTATAAAAACCAGGATACCACATATTGCTAGTCTCTATCATCTCTATCATCTCATTCTTTTTATCTTTTTGTTCACTGTTTCAATGCTCACCAATATCTGCTCTAGATGTAAAGTTTTGGGCTCCGACATCAGTTTAGATGTAGTTGACATAGTCATGCTTATTATTGCACCCTGTTTATGTTTTCTACTCAACTGTTGATTTCCCTTCTGCATTTATAAAGTTTTATGACTGTCTTTCTCATTGTAGGAAAAATGAGCTTCACCAAGTGGCACAACAAGCTTCTAACATTGAGGAATTGGTTGAGGTTATTCGGGCATCACTTTCAGTTATGCATAAGCAATGGTCTGACGCTATGCACACTTTTCATGAAAAGTTTGATTCTCTTTCTAATCTGATTATTGACAATGGTAACTTCTCAATGACTCTGTATCTGTCTTTCTTGATTCAATTCTTGCTTATTTTAGTTTTCCATTCATACATTTCCTACCATTTGTATGTAGGGCTGGACTCTTGTCCCCAAGAAGAGTTTTTGAGTCTTTTAGGTGGTGCAAGGACTAGTCCAGCAGTTCATCAATTTCTAGTTAACTCTCTTGGTGAAGTGGTATGCTTAGTCCTATATAGAAACCTCTTTTGACATTAGCATTTAGTGATATGCTTAAAAAGTGTACATGAGAGCATAGTGGATTCAACAAGTGTATTTACTAATAGGGTGTGAAGAGAGTGTCAAAGGCTGTTTGTGGAGCCGGGAAAGAACTTCAGCTTATTGTCCTAAATCATCTCCAGGTGCGTTATTGTTAGCTCTTGCTGTTGATGCAATAGTTTCCTGTTAGGAGCAATTGATTTTTGTTCCACTTTCTGTTGGTATCATCTTATACAAAAAGGTACATCACTTAATAGTTCCCTGATCAGGATCTATATTAAAGTACAATGCTTCTCATACATGGATATGAAACTGATGGAAGTATGAAATATTATTTACCTTTTTTTAAAGTTCACAATTTGATCCATGTTTATGTTTACAGAAGTAGTAAACCTGCTGCCTAATATATACGATCCTGTTTTCTAATGTTCCTTCTATCAAAGGGTTTGGGTGCAAACTAAACATAACTGCCTTTTTCCAGCCTGCTGCAGAAATTATTGCATTCAGGATGGGCGAACTAAGAGGACTTTCAAGATGGCGAGCAAGATATCAGGGTATTGGTTTGGATGAGGCACTCATCAATAATGCAACAGAGAAAGCTGGAATGATACTTATACAAGTAGAACGATTTATTAGGGTGCTTTCAACTGTGGTGCAGCAGGTTTGTTTGCATCTTAAAAACTCGTTTATTTTAGAATGTTCTCAGATGGAGAATAAATATTGCTTGTATAACTATATGCATGTTCTAGCAGATTTCCTACTTTTCTTTTCCTTCACTGTTGCCAACTATATTTGCTACATAGGCTGTAGTCAGAAATGATAGTTGCTCGGATATCTTAACTAAGATGATTTTCTGTTAATTTAGATAAATTGGTATTTAACTCCAAAAAGCCACCTGAACTTTTAAGAAGACTAATATTAGAAATAACTGAAGAAGTATAATAATTCAGGCAGTTTGATGATTGTGTTCTGTACAAAATGAAAAGTTTCTTAATTTCTGAAATTCTGACGTATTTTCTTTCAGTTTTCAAATTTCTTCAACTGGCTGTTGAAATGTATAAAGTTACTTATGTCAGAACCTAGTGATCATCATCTTCTACTGTACAATAGGTCTGTGCCACATATTCTTCTTTGTTTCATCTGGCTACCAGATATATTCTTTAACTCACAACATAACACTTTGGCATATTCTTTAACTCACAACATAACACTTTGGCAGTGAACTTGTTGTTATATTCTTGAAGTTTTTATACGATCAAGATCCTGTGAAGCAGTTGCTGGAAGCATCAGAAGCCGATGACCATATTGAAGTTGGTTTGTAAGTTGTTTTTAAATTACAATGACAGACAATCTAGTCTATAGTACAACCATTTTCTCAATTGGTATATTCTATCATTTAGTATCTTTTATGCATAACATAGTTATGGCTTATCTGTAGCCATCTATTTTGTATAGCTGCAGATGGTTTGATATCTAATATCCTTATTGCCTGCAGACCACATCCAAGTTAAAAACACCAGATATTTTGTGCACATCTGTATACATGCATGTGCATATGAAGAATGGACATGTGTGCTTGCATGTTGGCAATTGTGCAAGTATATGGATTCTCATATTAAATCTCTAAACAATATGAAGTTGCCTTGTTTTCAGGGAGACAATGCAGAGAGTTAAAGAATTAGTTCAGTTTGGGGGATTTTCAGATTTTGAATATCTGCAAAGGACATTAGCCAAGGAATTTCAACAGGTGGAGTCTAGGTACGTAGATGGTTGGTGAATAAGTTCAGTTTGGGAGATTTCCATGCCCTCATCTATAAATTTTGCCATGGAACCTGCAGTCTCATAAATTGACATGCTTCCATTCCTCAAAATGTAACCATATCATTATTTACTGTTAAAGGAAAATGTTAATCTTTTGTGAGCTCTCTGACAGAGATCAGAGAAATATTGCTTTAATGATTTCAAATCACCATTCCTGTTTTTAGTGGTTCTAGTTATCATATTTCTTTTTTCTTTTACTGCAGCCGGTAAACTTAACTTAATTACTTCAGTCACCATGAAAGTATAAATTTGTTTATTCTTTACTCCAAAACTTTCCCAAGTAATGTGAAATGAAAATGAGATCCTGCTTGATTAACTTAACACCGAGTCATTGACAAAGACAAGCAAGTGGGCGTGCACACACTCACATATAAGCATGTATACATACAGTCTTCTTTGAATAGTACGTGCTTTTTCTATTTGAACTTACAGATGCCCCCTTGTTCTTTTAGTTTTAAGGAGGCTTTTCTGATGCCTTTTACTACAATTTCAAGAAAGATACTGTGCGGGGATTTATTGCCGCTTTGCCCTCTTCCACCTTCGTCAGCATCTTTGTCTTCCACCATTCCGATGTCAGTATCGTATTACGAGGTAATTATTGTTTTTGCAATTAAGGATGTTTTTAACATGTGTGATCAACCGGCAAATTGTTCTATTATTCAGAAAAGTCAAAAAGGGATTCCAATACTTAAAATTCACTATCAATGACATTAACTCTTTGTTTTCTTTCATACTCCATAGGATGCCTCCCAATCCGTCTCTTCTCATCAGAGTCAACACATGCTTCTTGATTACATATCTTTCCAAATACCAGATGATTCTTTCTCTGGAGTTTCGAATTGTATAGGCATAGTGAGGGGGTTTATGCATGACTCGATCAGTGTAAAGAGGGGTTATACTTCACTAGAAGCTGTATTATTGTGTGTCCCTGGTGGTTATTGCTGTGCCGATCTTTCCTTATATAAGGTAAAGACCTAAGTTACCATGTGCAGTCATCTCAATTTTTGTTTTTTGGAAGGTCACTTAAAGTGCTTTATAATATATAACAGGAAAGTCAGATTGTTCTGTTATTGAATGAAACAACTGCCACTTCTGAAAGTTCTGGAAATGCTTCTATGATGATTGTGCAAGCAAATGACCTTCCATTTGTATCTATCTCAAGATCCACTGGTCTAAACTACTGGAAGTTGCATCAACTAGAGGTAATTCTAATCTTTGCTCCCTCACACATTCATTGTATTAAATTACTTAATATAAAAAAAATCCCGTGACTCCCGATCTCTCTGTTCGCATGTTGCTCTGTGGTATATGATACTTTTCTAAAACATGTACATATAGGACTCTGTCGTTCACTTGCAAATGGAGAATGAGAAGGTTCGCAGTATACCTCACTCTGTTATTGCTCCACTGGCAGTCAGTTGTAAGTTCTTAAAATTGTTTCTGAGTTCAAATCAACAAGTTCTATCACTTGTGTCTCCAACATGGGAATTGTGTGTGTTTTTGTTTTTGTTTTTTGAAATATCGGCTGAATTTGTTGTAACAGCATCAAGAGGCGTGGCTTGTGTTTTTGCTGCAAGAAAACGTGCCTTGGTCTACATTCTGGAGGAAGATGAAGACGAAGTCTCAGATGCAGAATGATTTGTATATATAAATTAATTTCTCACTCACTCTCCTAGGACAAATTTGTTTGTTTTACATTCTCTTCCTCGGCGTGTATCATAATTTTGTTCTCGCAAACAAATGTGTTTTACATTTTGTTTCTAGAGCATGTGTCATAATTATTTTTCTCTCGTAATTACAGTTTGTCAATATAAAATAGAGAACTGAAAATTGGGCTTTTATTGTCGAACAAAACTAAACAAATTGTAGGTTGCTTTTTTGGTACGAGTAACATCCGAATTTCTTAATCAAGTTTCGTGTTGTAAACTCAATTTAACAAAATACCTTCTACCAAAAAAGAGAAAAAGAACGAAGCTTTGATGATCATGAAAAATAAGATGAAATGTCTATCGCCATATGTTTGTACAATATCTGGCCAAGCATTTCCAAGCATTTCCAAGCTAATCCAAGCAAAGGGAAGGGAGTCCCACATCGACAAAACACAAGAGAAGGGGACTCTCCCTTCCCTATAAAAGAAGACCCCTCTCCTTCAAAGGAGGGAGAGGAAGAAAGAGGTTGGGCAGGCTACTAGGGCCTCATGGGCTTACCCATGAGCCCATTTACAAGCCCACGAATCTTCGGCCATCAGCCAGATCATCTGTCTTCGGCCATCAGCCTTCGGCATCTGCAGCCTTCGGCATCTGCCCTCAGCCTTCGGCCTTCGGTATTCTTCCTCTTCCCCTTGGGTCTAACCCTATGTACAATGTATACACACATTATTATAATGAGAACATACTTCTCTGTGGACGTAGCCCATTATTCGGGTGAACCACGTACATTTGTTTTCTGTATGTATGTCCATTTATTCACCGATTGCTCTTACATACTGAGGGTCCTCACCCTCAACATCCACCTCATCTTTAAGTTGGCCTACATACTACCTGTCTAGTTTTAGCGCAAATAGATTGGCGCCGTCTGTGGGAAACAACACAAAACGCTATGTCGTTCTCCTTCACGAGTGCTCTCGGCACCCTTTTTGAGCCATGCCCACGGAACCTCCTACAATTCGCCTTCGGCCTTCGGCACCCTTGCATCATTCGGCGCGTGCGATGTCTTCACATCCCCCCAATGATTCGGCATCTGCCTTTGGCCTTCGGCACCCATCATCATTCGGCGCGTGCGATGTCTTCACATCCCCTCAATGATTCGGCATCTGCCTTTGGCCTTCGGCACCCATCATCATTCGGCGCGTGCGATGTCTTCACATCCCCCCAATGATTCGGCATCTGCCTTCGGCCTTCGGCACCCATCATCATTTGGCGCGTGCGATGTCTTCACATCCCCCCAATGATTCGGCATCAGCGCCATCAGCTTCAGCCTTCGGCCATCAGCCTTCGGCCTTTCAGCATCAGCCTTCAGCCATGCCGAACGGCACCTTCTAGGAGACACTTCTCCAGCGCCTTTTCTCAAAGCCATCAGCCTTTGGCCATCAGCTTCGGCCATCAGCTTCAGCCTTCGGCCATCAGCATCAGCCTTCAGCCATGCCGAACGGCACCTTCTAGGAGACACTTCTCCAGCGCATTTTCTCAAAGCCATCAGCCTTCGGCCATCAGCTTCGGCCTTCGGCCATCAGCTTCAGCCTTCGGCCATCAGCCTTCGGCCTTCGGCCATCAGCCTTCAGCCATGCCGAACGGCACCTTCTAGGAGACACTTCTCCAGCGCCTTTTCTCAAAGCCATCAGCCTTCGGCCATCAGCCTTCGGCCATCAGCTTCGGCCATCAGCTTCAGCCATCAGCTTCAGCCTTCGGCCATCAGCTTCAGCCTTCGGCCATCAGCTTCGGCCATCAGCCATCAGCTTCAGCCTTCGGCCATCAGCTTCAGCCTTCGGCCATCAGCTTCAGCCTTCGGCCATCAGCTTCAGCCTTCGGCCATCAGCTTCAGCCTTCGGCCATCAGCTTCAGCCTTCGGCCATCAGCTTCAGCCTTCGGCCATCAGCTTCAGCCTTCGGCCATCAGCTTCAGCCTTCGGCCATCAGCTTCAGCCTTCGGCCATCAGCTTCAGCCTTCGGCCATCAGCTTCAGCCTTCGGCCATCAGCTTCAGCCTTCGGCCATCAGCTTCAGCCTTCGGCCATCAGCTTCAGCCTTCGGCCATCAGCTTCAGCCTTCGGCCATCAGCTTCAGCCTTCGGCCATCAGCTTCAGCCTTCGGCCATCAGCTTCAGCCTTCGGCCATCAGCTTCAGCCTTCGGCCATCAGCTTCAGCCTTCGGCCATCAGCTTCAGCCTTCGGCCATCAGCTTCAGCCTTCGGCCATCAGCTTCAGCCTTCGGCCATCAGCTTCAGCCTTCGGCCATCAGCTTCGGCCATCAGCCTGCTGAAGAATGAGCTGAAGCAATGCTTGGCCAGTGCATTAATGACTACAAGTCCCCAATCAAGAAGTACCTCCTTAATCGGGAACTTGGGGGACCATTGTTTGTACAATATCTGGCCAAGCATTTCCAAGCATTTCCAAGCTAATCCAAGCAAAGGGAAGGGAGTCCCACATCGACAAAACATAAGAGAAGGGGACTCTCCCTTCCCTATAAAAGAAGACCCTTCTCCTTCAAAGGAGAGGGAGGAAGAAAGGGAGGAAGAAAGAGGTTGGGCAGGCTACTAGGGCCTCATGGGCTTACCCATGAGCCCATTTACAAGCCCACGAATCTTCGGCCATCAGCTAGATCATCTGCCTTCGGCCATCAGCCTTCGGCATCTGCAGCCTTTGGCATCTGCCCTCAGCCTTCGGTATTCTTCCTCTTCCCCTTGGGTCTAACCCTATGTACAATGTATACACACATTATTATAATGAGAACATACTTCTCTGTGAACGTAGCCCATTATTCGGGTGAACCACGTACATTTGTCTTCTGTATGCATGTCCATTTATTTACCGATTGCTCTTACATACTGAGGGTCCTTACCCTCAACATCCACCTCATCTTTAAGTTGGCCTACATACTACCTGTCTAGTTTTAGCGCAAACACCATACATTCTTGAAAAACAAATAAATCAACATAAAGCTTCTTATTGCTGATGAAATGTGAAAACATGAAACGATCATCCAATAATTTTAATTATTAATCTAGAACTACAAAGCAACACAAAACGCACATTAGTCGTGTCAGATCGCCACTAACACAAATTAACGGCATGATAAAAGTTCAGCATACTAGCAAATGACTGTAGAACTCGCCTACCCTCATACTATCATAATCACTTACAAATGTAAACAAGAAAAAACCTTCGCCGACTCTCTAGTTATACAGGAAAGTTTCCCCTCCGAAATGCTATTCTCAGATTAGCAAAGGCCTTCAGTTGAAACAGCTCAACTCCTGTTGGTTTCAGAACTTGCAGGCAAGAATGTTGTTTTATGTTGCCAGCAGTAAAACACAACTGTAAAAGCAGGTGTCAATAGAAGACATAAGCTTACTGTACACGAACTGTACAAGCAGAGCGGTCCCAAGAATGTCAGGCTTGTATTCCAAGAAACAGCAGGACAGCTAGAACTTAAGGTTTTATCCATTGATATCCGCCCACAACCATAGTCCTCCATTGTGTTAGAAGCTGCAGCATGACAGGAATCAGGGAGGCAGGGAAGACGAAAGCCTAGAGACACCAAAATCCGATCAGCTTTGCCTCGTACAAGTCATATTTATGAATCATCCAACTCAACTAGCTGTGCCCGTCTCTCAGCAGCCTTCTTTCTGATGAATATGCCCCATCTAAGGGCTGCCTTGAGCTTGAGCCAGCCAACAACAGCTTTTCCAGATGAACGACTGCGATCATCATCAATACTGTAGTTCACTGGTGGAGTGGGGATGTATGCTGTGGAATAAGGATAATTGTCTTCAGTAACGTTCATGGAGGCATGTCCGTAACCGTGACCATGACTGTGACCTTGACCACCCATGTTAAAGAAACGAAGTAGATGCTGCATATCTTCATTTTCAAGCATCTCATGGCTCCTCATACGAATTTCTTCCTCTGGAAAGAGGTCCTCAACTCCCCTATAAGAAGTAAGATTGGGTGTACCAATATTCTGGAACCCTGATGTGGATGACTGTGGTGGACCAAGGGCAAGCATGTTTTCATTTCTTTGAAAATGAGCCTGGTTTGAAGTGCTAGGCAACTGATTCTGTAGAGGAAATGCCAAGCCATCAAGCTGAATGGGAGCACTGAGATTTACGTTCTGTGTTGAGAATCTGGTAGCCATGCCATCATTATAACCTAGAGAGATAGAGAGAGCATTCACAGACGTTAGAAACCACAGTTTAGCCGAAACACTCATAACAACAGTTTTTTCCTTTCATATTTCAGGGGATTTTAAAACACACACCTACACTTGAAAAAAAAAAAACACAAGTTTTCAGGGCTAGTTAAAAGAATAATTGAATATGACCAATTTGTGCCAAAATTAAATATATATTACCTCCTACACTTAGGCCCGAGTCCATAATAGGCTGTTCTGCAGAAACTGAAACTGGAAGGCTAGGTAGGGTGAATTGATCAAAAGAGTTTGGATAATCTTGTGTGGCCAATGGAACCTCAGGTAGAGAAGCCTCTGGACTCTTCTGCTGCTTAAAGTTTAAAAGAGACTTTCCATCATACTCCATCACATGCATCCAGTTGTCATATGCCTTCTTCACCAAACCGTCCACGTAGACCTGAAAGAAACAAAACCATTCACAATTTTCTCAGATTCACCTTTTAGGCATAGTTTAGAAACTAAAGAATTCTTTTCTGGAAAATCTACTAACATATAAAAAGTATTGCTTTAACAGCCCCAATAAAACTTTGAGGGATCATGGCTAATTACTACTTTGCATCACTTCAGATACATTAACCATGTCAATCTCCTCTGGTGAAAGAGGGTTGTTTGTAAATAAAATAGAAAGTGCATATGGACTGGATTCCTTCAGTGCGAAAGAATTGCCCATTTGGACAAAACGGAGGCAACCTAATTGAGTTTAGTGGTTTACAACATTGCACTTTTAGTATCAGTTGTTATAAGAAGGAACACAAAACAATAAAATATATCAAATCCAGGCAGTATAAAATATACATGAAAAAAGAGAAACCAGAGGGTCACATACCTTCTGACTGTCCGAGAGTGAATCGGCAGAGTAAAATTGTTCATTGGTAATTAAGCCGCTCAACTCGTAGATATCGTTAAAAACAACGCCAACATTCCTTGCATCATCAGGATAGTAGACATAGAGTTTCCCACCTAGAAGACAGGTTTTTGCATGCTGTATAAGGACATCCCACATCTTATTCGACATGCCACTTCCAAGAATCTATGACAAATGGACAGGAAAATAATTAGGAACTGAAACTTCATTATCTGAACATGACAAACAATTCCACAATCTTACATTCCGCAATCTCTGCGAGTCTCTAACCACAAGACGTAGGAAGTCTTCAACTGTAACAATTCCAGCTTTATTCAGTCTCTTGTGGAATGAGCCATCTTTTCCAATTTTCTCCAATCTCCAGACCTCATCATGTAAAGCAGGTGGGTAGTGTTTCTTGTATACTGTAAAGCACACAAAACAAAACTGACCGTAGTGACTTTTTTTCAGCTAACAAACAAAGGAAACATGAAATAACACTAATTATGAACTCACATTCCCCACGGTGATCCTTAACAGTAAAGGCATCTGTTTTTGCTTCCCGTATACAAATGCCCTCGCAATAGCCTGAGGCAACTTTCAGTCCTAGCCTGAATTTTCTGCTTCTAATCCAGCTAGAGTTATCAGTAAATGTTAGCTCCCCTAGTGTTCCTACACCTTCCTTCAGAGTCACTTGCAGATCCCCAGTCAGAAGTGGCCTCTTTCCTTCACGCTCTTTCACCACATGGCTCTCAAATTCTTCTTGGGTCCAGTTATCATCATCCTCGTTGTTAAAATCACCTTCAAGCACAACAACATCTAGTTTCACCACAGACTCTGGGCCTGATGTCACAACCTGCTTTGTATTTGCATCAATCAAGACAACAGGGATTGCAGAACCCCACTCCCCTTCTACTTTTCCACCAGTAAAGAGAGGAAGAGACAACCTAGACCTAAAGTGCAGCTGCAAGTGTCTTCCATCAGGCCCTTCAATTTGTTTAGGAGAAGACCTGCTGCTTTTGAACGCATTAGAAGAACAAACTATTTATATGGAGGCATCAGAACTGCCTAAATAGACAAATGGAAACAACAGAGGATCGGAACCCATTAACAAATAAGGAGGAAAAGGGGGAAAGGGTTGATACCTTCCAGTAAGTTTGGCAGAGCCTAATTTTGCTAAAGCACGCTCCACCTCTTCACTAACCTGTTCAGCAGCGTTAAATAAATAAGAAACATCCAACAATGCTTTGCACACAAAATCCTTATATAAAAAGATCGAATACTGGTCATTAGACATTCATATAGAGACAGTTATATTAAGCTTTCAGAGAGAAGACAAAAGTCCACAAGAAAATTAAAATATCTTACAACTCTACGTAGAATCGGCTCCAATGACGAGCAAAGCTTTTGCAGACTATCCACCTTGAGAGCTTCAACAATTACACTGCATTAAGTTGAATATTATCAATAAACAACATTTTGAGTGCATTCATCATGCATAAGACATTCAATTTATTCCAGGCTTATATTCTTTGGTTTTTTTTTTTCCTAAAAGTAGTTTTTTAAGTCCATCTCTAACAAATAAATAACATGAATCCACAACAATATAAGCCAAAAGTGATTAATTTCCAGATATTGTGCCCAACATAATCCCTAAGAGAATTAGATAACACAATGAAATTGTTGTGTTTAAGAATAAGAGAAGCATCAGACATCTGAAAAGAAACTGATAGAGTCATTAGACGACTTGTATGTCACAATTAGAGAAAATGTGTGCCACACTACGGGGCACCAACACTCTTTTCGCCTCCACAAGTAGAGAAAATGCGGACTTGTATGTCAGCCACCATCCCTTATGATAATAAATTAACTCCAGAACGTTATAGTTGCCCCTAGCTGCGATATATGGGAAGTTGGGCATGAACACACATAAATTATAGAGTGAGCATGAATTAATTACATAGAAATGAGACCAAGACCTTTGAGGGGGAAAAAGCTTCTTAATCACAATTGCACTGTGAGTAAAAAGCTTCTTAATTGTACTTTTTACATATTATTCGCAACAATATAAATGAGTTTTGAGTTTCTATAGCACATTTATCAGTTCAACACTTCAAGTTCAAATATTTCTCACACACAACACAAAATTCTAACAGATTTCATATCCATTTTTACATTACAGCTAAATTACAAACAGAACACACCCAAACAATTAACAAATTACTTCAAATTAACTGGAAATCCAAGTTTTTTTAACCAAACAAAAAAGGACCTGGCTAGAGCAGGCCGTTTCCTATCTGGCTGCCCTTCTTCAGCTGAAGACGAATCCAAACCTCGCTTCTCCCTCGCCATACTATTCGATCTCTCCATGTACCTTGTCTGCATCTTCACCGTTCCCAAAACTAAACCTCCTGTTTGGTTGCTGAGAAAGTGGAAGAAACCAATCACACAAAATACACAAAACTTTCAAATCACTTAGAGCTAACGTTTAGTTTGACTTGAATTTTCCGTTCCCAGACGCAAACACACACCAATAAACAAACAAAAGTCAACAAAACGACTCGAATTTCTTTTCTTTCTTCCGTTTTCTGAGCAGCCAAACAAAATACGAAATCTGATCCAAAACACGAGTCGTTCTCTGCTTTATTCCATGTGTGATGTGTGGAATCAAATTGCATGAGAGGAAAAAGGAAAAGTAGGGAAAAAAAGCGAGCGGGAAAAAGTGAAAAATAAACAAACCTGAGAGGGAGAGAATTGAGGAATCTGAGAAGTTTCGTCGAAGCGTCTGCGAATTTTCTCGCTCGTTAACGTCTTTGAAACAATTAAAAGAGAGAGAGAGGCTTTTTGTCCCAGTGTGCTGGGGGCTCACAGTGGCCCTCTTTTCTTTTCTTGTTTTCTTTTGCTCCAAACAGTGGCGAATCTCTCGCTGCTCCTTGGTCGGTGGCTGAGATCTTTTGCGAGCAGACAATCGGCCGATAAGGACCGTTGGATCCGTTGAAGTTTAGGAATCTTTTGAAATTTTTAATGATTGGCCACGTGAGTCTTCGGGTGTGCTTGCGTGTGTTTGTATGGAGAAAAAGTGTGTGCTTTGGCGATTGTAGCCGTCTAATTTAAATTTTTTTTTTTTCCAAAAATAAACGAGTATTAAAAGAAAATTAAGAAATGAGTGATGAAGAAAGTCAAGCATGCTTAAGGAATCAAACTGCAATTTTTCTTCCTACTAATCTGACACGAACGAGCACCAAAACTTCTGGTATTTACTATTTCAATCTGTTTACCTGCTAAGCAACTTCATTTTATGATTAGGACATTTCTTTCGGGTTATGCGTAATGAATGAGTTCTTTCCTTTCCATCTGACTTGAGAAATTCTTCCAGTGACTATCACACCACCGTGTGATATTACAATTCCCTTGTATTATAATACGTGTATTTATTATTATTAATACGTGTGTGACATAATACATGTTTTTATTATTATTAATACGTTACACACGGTCACACCTAAGTATTTCCATTGCCCATCATTACTACTTTAATAATGAAATCTGTTCAACAAATTGAATTCCTCGATAAAGGGAAGACAGCTTCACTTTAACAAAGATGCTACGACATATGCAGATAAGGATGAAAGATACAATATATCCAAAAGAAATATAAAAAGATTATGCAGAACAGAATAATGTAACACATCCCATTTCAATCAAAGGTCTAATACAAAAATGAGCAGTATACAACTAAAAGCTTGATTCAGACAACCAAAAACTCCAAAGACCCAAATGGAAGTTCTGGGCAGCTGAGTTCACTACTTCATATTTCTCTATTGGAAAGACATGTTGATCCTACAACCTCAACGAATCGGGAAAGGGAAGACCAAAACCTAGCGCCTCTTCTTGGTCTTTTCCGGTCCCTTCCTTTTATCTCTTTTACGTTGCAGCTTGGGCCGTGATTTTCGTTTTGCAACTTTTTTCAAAGGTTTTGTCTTGCTCACAGGTAGATTGTGCTTTTTAGAAGCTCCAACTGATTGCGGTATTGCTGCCTCCGTCTTTTCATCTGAATCACTTTCCTCTTCTCGAGAGATCTCGCTTGTTGTCACAGTGACTTTCATGTCACCATTGTCATAAGTCGTTGTACCTTAAGCAATAACAAAAGGTCAACTCAAATGCTGATTAAAAGCATGAACTTGCATTAGAGCATAATAAACCACAATCCACCTCTATTTATATAAAATCCAAGGACAAATTCACTAAAAAGTTCATATATCTGACATTCAAAAAGCCATTACTATGACTTTTACTTTTATATTTGTTTAGGCAAGAACATTCAAAGGGCTTTAAATGAGTCATCAAAAGACTCGTGCCCAACAGTTTAAACCTTTTTGGTACTATTAGTTCTATAGAAACATTTCATATATCACAAGTATGGGAAGAAATCTATAATTATGGAAATATAAAGAATTAATAACTCCCATCTTGCCATACATAATGAATAATCTGTGATCAGTAGCAAGTGATGTGATTAAAATTGCCACTTAAGTCAAAGATTTCCTAAATTTAATAGTGTGTGCCATTGGTTCCAACTTTGTTACTGTCTCACTAACCAAAAGACCAACCACTAAAAAGTTAACACTACAGGGTTAGAGACAGCAGGGTTAGCAGCACTAGAGCACCCAACATAACCCATGAGTTCTTAGTAGGTACTGACACATAAAAGTAGCTTAAATACATGTTTGTATCCATTGTGAAACAAAGTTTTGGAAAATACCTGAAACTGGTAGTGCTGGCTCACTACTTTCATCATCCTCGTCATGCTCATCACTCTCATCAGCTGCTGTGTCAGTGGCTGGGGGAGCGTCACCATTAAGAGCCAGTTCCTTTTCTAGTCTCCTCTGCAACAAACGTTACCAAAGGTAAGACAATGAAAACTTGGGTTGTTTTTCAAGTACGTTAACATACATTTATCAGTGCCCTTGTAAAAAAAACAAAAACAAAATCAAAAGAAGAATCTCATAAAGGATGAAATATGTATGAACAACGATGACCCCTTTTCTCCCTCTTCCCGACCCCCACCCCCCAGCAGAAAAATAAAATCTTTGTGCCTCAAAATTCAAGAATTACTGGGTTAAAATGGTTTAAGTAGCCAAATTTTACCTGAGGTCAAAGCCCTTGCAACAAATGAACAGTTGCAATATGGCTTTGACTGCCTGAGAGGACATGCTCAGAAGTAATACCCCCCCTATCATGCATGTGCAATATGGCATTCTCTTCTGATTTCTATGGTGGAAAATGTTTGCGGAACAAGACTAAGTTTGTTGACATTGGTTACCAAAATTTTCAGTTTTTGGCATAGAAAAATGGTGCTACTGGCTTTTTCCAACAAAAAGGCTCTGGTAACATCCCTAGCAGAAGTATCCCTCCACAGTAACTACCATCCTACCAGAAGTTGAATCTTCTGTACTATAATAATTTTTAATGTTACACGCATGAAAATCATCATAGGGAAAAGAGAAACAAAGTTTATTTGCAGACATACAACAATTCAATAATCAATTTTTCTTTAGAAATTAATAATATGAAAGCAAAACTAACCAAAACTTGACAACATAATTGCATTATTGTAGACAGCTAGATAATTCTATTCATATTTTCAGGCTTCATGGCTCGTATCAGATAATCAGACCAACAAAACAGAGACTTAGTGGTCAATGGGAAGTGCTATTCCTGATCCACATCCTAATAGCTTAAGCTTATGTTCCAAGAAATTGCGGTCAATAAATAAACTTTACATATATTTTAGCTTTTTCAGTCATCCGCAAACAAAAACAGCAACTTGGCAACAATGAGATTACATCAATCGACTATTATCCAAAGATCAATAAAATATAGCTACATCATTACACGAAAAAATACCATAAAAAAGAGGCCAAGGGTCAAAAATTGACCATAAATTCTAACCTTTTTGCGCAGCTCAAGACGCTTACGCCGTAGCGCCTCCCCTTGCTTCTTCTCGGCTTCCTTTCTCCTTTTCTTCTTCCTCTTGTGAAACCCAGACACAAAATCGCTTCACAAACCAAAGCCCCCCAAGTTAAACACCCAAAAGAAGTAAAACGTTAAACCCCAAATATGAAAAAGACCCAATTCACAAAATACAAAAAGAACAAAATTCAGGGCTTAGTTTTCGTTACTGATGAAGCTCGTGATGACGGTGTACTACCTGAGATCTTTCTCGTTGAACGTGACGGCGAGAGCCTTGTTTTTAAGAGCCCTCTTCTTTATGTGACGGCCTCGGGAATTTGGCGCCGGAATCGCTTCCACTTCGACCTTGCCTACCATTGCAGCTTCACTGCTCCGAGTTGGTGCGCTTGTGGTTAAGAGGCCGGTTCACATGTGTTTTTTTTCAGTATATGAAAGTGGTTTGAGCACATTTGACTTGGCCCAAATGGTTTGAGTACATTCAACTCGGCCCAGAACATATAATTTGGGATTTGGATATCCAGCAAAATGGACCTAGGTCAGATTGAAGCCCAAAGCCATCACACGACCCTTTTTCGGGCATGGCATAAAATCCAGCATTAAGAGCATCCGTAATGGGCTCCCTAAACCACCTCCTTAGACAAATTTTAGGGAGGAATTGTAAAAATGCAACTCCAACCATGCTCTCTATCCACCTCCTAAAATAGGGAGTCCTCTAGGAGCTCCTAAATTTGAGGAGAGAGAAAGTACTTATAGTGGTTCCCTATAATTTAATGTTGCCTCATTTAATAAGTATTTCAAACCTTTATTTAATGCTAATTATTTTTTATTTTATTTTTTAATAGAGATGGACCAATCAAAAAAGAGTTATAGCATTTATGACTCTCCAAATTAGGGAGTATGGTTGGAGTTGAAATTTTTTAGAGAGCTCCTAAAATAGCTTTCTTATATTTTTAGCTAAATTTTAGCTAAGAAATAGAGAGCATCATTGCGGATGCTCTAACAAAGGTTTTTCTAATCAATCTGTGGGATTTCAAATTATGGACTTCTTCTGACATTGGAAAGAAGTAAGGTCAAAAATATCGATAGTAACGAAAATATCGGTAATCTAAAAATACAGAAATTTCGATGGAAATATTGGGATATTATCGATATCAATAAAAATTAAATAAAAACCACAAAAATTGTAAGAAAAACTTGAAATTTTTTATTGAAACTTTGGAGGATGTTTATTTAGTCAATTATCTATTAGTTTATTACAACAAATTGGAAGAAAATGCATTGGATAATGGGTTTAACTGATTTAAGTTGATTATATAGCAAGCTAACAAACACTACGAGTACAGAAAATATGTAGTAATTAATGAAAAAAATATTAAACACACCATAATCATTTATGTATAATGATTTACTACAATATTTTACACTTTATATATGCATAATAAGATACATAAGTGACTTAGAACCACATAGAGTTCCTATGAGGTTCAAATTTTTCACTTTATCTCTATGTATGTAATGCGAAGAGTAGTTATCAAATGATAAATTCCCAAAATAGTTTTGCATGTAATTGTTAACATGCCACCCATGGATCCGAGATTAGTTGACATTGTCCATAAGCAAAAACATTTGAAGATTAGGTCTCAGATTCTTTCCATGAGCCACTCGATTCCATCCCAAAAGGAAATTTCAAAGACTCGCATTCTCATGTGAAAATCTAATTCTTGTAAGGAAACAAAACAATATAAAATATATATATTTTTAGCATATTATCACAAAAACATAAGCAACATGGTGGTTAAGGCGTTGGATGAATGAAATGGCAAGGGTTTGAATCGCCTTTGCATGTGTGTTTTGTGTTTTTTTTTTCCTTTTTTTCATTACATCGATATTTTCGATATTATAGGGATATTTTGACAAAATAGTGATGAAAGCGAAATTATCGACATTGATATTTTCCGATATTATCGATATTTATACTATATGTGTATGAACACGTTCCGAAATATCCGTAACTCGAAAAAACGATAATATCCTAAATATTTCGTCAATATTATTGATATTTTAGACTATGAAAAGAAGTACTACCAAAATAAGACCTAATTTATGTAACATTAACAACGTTGAAACATTGATTTGTTATTTTTAAACTAAACGGGATTTGAATTGAACTTAGTGTAATGTAAGATCAGACTATTACCAACTACATCTTAGTCTAGTGATATGTATGTTTCAAATAATAGTGTATAACTTTTTTTTAAAGATATTTTTTATTGAGAATGACGATAGTATACTAAATTCACACATATAACACGGATACTGAGATTAGAACATAGAAATGGATCATTTGCAAGTAGTGTATAACTTTAATTGTAATAATCCAAACATTTTCATTGTCACCAAATATGATGTCGAAAACTATTGACACTTTTGTTTCGCATCCCCAATGGGCAGGGACAAGTCACAATTTAATTTATCGCATATACATAGTTTCCCTTTCCTTTTCGATGGATGTCGAAGAAGCTTTTGGCCCCAACGTTACATTTCTTTATCTTTTGTGGGCATCATAGAATAAACCGAATGATGCAAATTACAATCAACCCAACAACTAATTTCGGTTTTTAAAGGTTTTTTGGTAAATGAAACCAATTTCCGTTGGCATCGTTCACATCAAACCCGGTTCGCTTCCGTCAACCTCAACCAAAGTGAACCGGTGTCTGCGCCAACGAGCGCATAAATTTCTACATCAGACGCCTCGGACTCCAAAGAAGAGCCTCAACGACTCTTTGAAGACTTGAAACACAATCCAACATGGACCGACCCGAGTCCGCTCAACCGCAACCCGTACTCTCCGACCGGGTCCTCATAAACGGCACCGTCACTTCGGTGACTCTATTCGCCGATGGAGTTCTCCGGTGGTCGGAGAGAGGTCAACGGAGCTTGATCGTGGAGAAGGAGATCCTCGGGTTCGCAGCAGAAGGTCCGAAGATCAGGATCAGAGCCTTAGTGGAAGACGGAGATGGAATCTGCTGCGTCGCGAGCAGAGGAGCTGTGGTGAGGAAAGAATTCGTCTTCAAGCCTCTCTCTGAGGACTCGCATAGGCTCTGGTGCCAGAAGCTCCGCGAACACATTGATTCTCTGGGTAATCATCATATGCTCTATTTGGCTTCTGTCCTGTTTGGTTGATAGGAAAATGCCGGAAAGGAAATGAATGCTTGGGAAGTTTTGACTTTTGACTTTGACTTTGGGTTGTTTGACCGTTGCGCGATTTTGAATTTCCGTTGTTTTTGTTTCAATTTTGTTAACTTAAGCTACTGAAGCTCTTTTTAGTTTAATTTCCACTTAAGTTTTTTTTTAAAGCCTAATTATTGAAAAGAAATTGAGTTTTTGGTTTTTTTTTTTATATTACTTCTCGCATTTATTGTGATAACATAGATGGTAACTTAATTCTCTTTGTAACAGGGCGGCCAAAGAGGCTCTTCGTTTTTGTGAATCCATTTGGTGGGAGCAAATCCGCTTCAAAAATATATGCTGAACACGTAAAACCTCTTTTCCAGGATGCTAATATCCAATTTACACTACAAGGTTCGGAATCTTCCTTAAAATCTTGCTTAATAGTTGATATGCCAAGTTTTGGATTTGTGGATTGTGGGTCAAGTTAATGCATCCCCTTTGTAATTATTTTTTCAATCAATGTTTCAGAAACTCAATATCAACTACATGCGAAGGAAGTTGCTAAAACACTAGATCTTTCAAAGTATGATGGCATTGTTTGTGTTAGTGGGGATGGAATCTTGGTTGAGGTTGGTTGCCAATGATCACTAGCTATGTGAATATGATTTTGTTGCAGAGTTATTAAACATAAGGAATGCCATCTTGTGATTGTGCAAACAACTTCCTCGAGGAATTTCAAATTACTTATATATAATGACCAGCCCTTTTGTTTTCCTCCAGTAAGTTAGAGTTTTTTTTGTTTTTTTTGCAGAGCTGCTGGTAAGTTGGTAAACATATAGTATTAATTTGATCTAACAAGTTTTTAAAGCTGCGACGGTCTCTAACTGAAAGTGGCAAATCAACTGACTGGCAATGTTATTAGTCTGAAACACAACAAAGAATCTATTTTTGGTTTAGTTTTATGTTTATATCATGCTAATCTGGTACATTTGTCTTCAGGATCATATGCATAGATTAAGCTTATCATTTTCTTCTTACAAGCATTGCACTTTTTAGTAGGTAGTAAATGGACTCCTTGAGAGAGAGGATTGGGAAGCTGCAATAAAGATGCCTCTTGGAGTAGTTCCTGCAGGTTCAATACTCTTTCTCACTCAATTTTCTTTATATTTAGAAAGAAAATAAAAATCTCTGAAAATTTCTAGATCATTCATGTTATGGAAGGTGAGGCCACTGCAGTGAATTGTGATAATTTGTGCATCAAAACAAACATAGTTATTAGTTGGTTGTTTTCAAGATTAATTTCTGACAAGAGATGTTTCTTCATTTAGGTACAGGAAATGGAATGGCAAAATCTCTTTTGGATTCTGTTGGTGAACCTTGTACAGCATCTAATGCTATTCTTGCCATTATTCGAGGTTACATATGCTGTCTGTGTATCATTATATTGTGTTCAAAATAATAGCATTGCTCCCTTTCTCTTCCTCTAATCTGTTGGTACTGAGTTCTTTGATTAATGAAATTTTATTCTTTGTGGGTTTATTTATGGCCAGGGAATAAGCGTTCATTGGATGTAGCTACCATAAGGCAGGGGAAGACCAAATTCTTCAGTGTATTGATGCTTGCATGGGGTGAGTCAAAACTATCACCACTGGATAGTGGGGTATACTCTGCTATTTCTATAAGTTTCTAGTTGTACTGGAATAATTCCTACTAGAATATCTGATTCTCACAGCAATTAAAAAATGTAATATGATTTTTCATATGCGTTCAGGTTTAGTGGCGGATGTTGATATTGAGTCTGAGAAGTATAGGTGGATGGGAAGTGCTCGTCTAGATTTCTATGTAAGTTTACCTCTCATTTATTGTGTTCTACTTTACTAGTTTATGCCGTTGCTCATTTAGATGTTTGTGTGCTTGTGTATCCTTTTACGTGATTTGTTGCCCTGGTATTATTATTAACTACTGCATTGAATTTAGATCTAGAATCAAAACTTCCAAGTATAACACTTTTTGTTTTGTTAAATTAGTTGCTGTACAAATTTTTAGGACCTAATAGTATCTTCAAATAGGAATTATTATAGAATGCTTCAACAAGTGAGTTCAAATTTAATCATTTCTTATGGTAAATCAAATTTATATTACAATTAGGTCTCCAACAGTTGTAAAATAATGAAAACTAGTAGTATCCGATTCTTTCTAAAGGATTTCAAACTTAAAATGTCACAATTAAATAGGGTTCTTCTT